CAGCTTCACAGCAGTTTCATAAATCTTGCAATGCTAAAAAAAAATAAAAATAAACCTCAAGCACTCAATAAGAAGCCGTAAATGTGCTCAATGTGCTTCTTATTATTGACCTCCGTGAAGCTAGGGTACCTTCTATATACTCACCCTCTAGCTGTTAACATTGCATAAGGGGAGGGAGGAGTACTCTGAAATGTCTTGCAGCAACATTCTGCAGAAAAACCCTTCAGTCAAAAAAATAGAGTGTATGCATCTTAGTGCTGCCACGCTGTTCTTCCTTGTAGTTTTGAAGAGGTTTACCCAAGATACTGTTTTCTAAGGGCTAAAAGGAACTCATACACTTGCCAATATATATTTTTAATTGCACACGCTGATAATGCAAGCATCTTTTTAATCAAATGCTTTTGCATGTGATGCTAAATGTAGTTAAAGTTTTGTTTAAATGATCTTCAGGCTTTAAAGTAAAAGTCCAGTCATATTCGGAATTCAACTTCTGAAAGTACTTTAAATATGAAATTATTATATGCAGTAAATGAAAATTGGTTTTAATTGTGAATAATTTCATTTGAACGTGCTTTACCAGAGACATCCATGTTGTCAAAGAACACTACTGCCACCTACCGGTTTGTGACGGCACGGTGCAGTATCGGCTCTTGAGCAAGTCCCAGTGCTGTATCTGGAGTTTGTCAAAATGTGGTATTATCCAATCCATCTTGAAAACATTCTTCTTTGAAATGTTGGCTACATATTACATGTATTTTTTCTCTAGGGAGAAGCTTGATGGCCTCACCCTTAGCATGAATCCGTTGGGCTTACGGCACAGTGACGACACTGCCAGAAGATGTTAGGAGTGAGGTGTTACTATATTTGGGCAAAAATGGCTGGTCCCAGACTTAGTGATCGCAACATAAATTATTATTTTCATTTTTTTTTACTGATTAATGCTAAATTTATTAAATCACTGTGAACATATTAGTTTAGGTATGGATAATGATCTGTTGATTATTCCTTGCTGACCGGACTTTCCCTTTAATATAAGCCACATGCTTCACCAAATTTTCACTTGTGAAAGAAAATAAAATATACATATGAAAGTCTATCATTGCTAGTTTTTAATTAGGGGTGAGTTTCTTCAAGTATGCTTTTCATACACCACAGTTTTAAACTAGATTAATAGAGGGGGGAAAAAACAACACAAATTCACTGTTATTGTAATTTGTATTTTGAATAAATTGAAATTAAATGGTGAATCTTTATAACCTTTTCCTAGGACACGCCTTGCAGTTGCCTAATTCAACTTAGATTAACTTAACTTCATTTGTTCTTTGTATGTGCAGTTAAAAATTAATTAACCACAAATCATTTACTTAAACAGAAACTATTTTGATTTGTTGTTTATGCTGCTGCTCAAAGCTAAGTTCATATTGCATGCGTCAATTTAACCCAGTTCTATTTCCCAGCGCTGGTGTTTATGCCCAGGGCAACACAAGAAAATCAGTACGACTTTCTTTGAGAAAATAGGGAGTACTTTAAACATATTTAGATGCATTCATGTATTTTGCTGGGCTACATTTTGAGTAATGGATATTTCCAGGTATGAGAGCTCAATATTCTAACATTTGCAAATAAAAAGTGTAATTTTTACCATCTTCTGTGATTGCCAATGATTAGAAAGCAGGTAAGTGGTATTTCTTGGTCATGTTGGTTTGGCAGTGGTTGGCTGTTTTGTAACCATTCTCCACAGTGGTATGAACAAAAGACCTATGTAACCTCACAGTAATCATTTTAACAGCCCTTGCCGTAATTAAAATGTCACATCCACTGTAGCGAAATACAACAGAGTTCCCAGCAAATTAAAACAGAATTATGCTGGCAGATGTGGACTTAATGGCCTAATCATCTCTTTACATTCCTCCCATTACAGAGAAATAGTTTTAAAATATCCTATCCATGATGGGTGTGCAGACGAAAAAAAAAAATATTACTTAAAAGGAAAAACTCGAACATTTATGATATATATGATTATAAAGGGATTATATCCAAATAAATAAACATAATTTTGGTTCTAAGTGCATCATAGGTTTTTCCTTTTCATTCAGTTCCACCCACACAGGAAGACAAATTAGCTAATTGTTGAAAACTAATGTAAGGTACCAGCAGCAAATGCATTAAGTGTTTTCAGCTGATGGAATAGACGTTGATACATCAGAGGGATTGATCTGATGCACACTATTGTTGCTTACTCAAAAGAACTTTAGAAAAAAAAGGAAAGAAGCTGCAACTTCAGAGTTTTTATTAGGAACACAATTTCATTTCTTTTAACAGTAAATAAAGGACATGAACCCTGACATTTTTTGTATATACCGAAAAAGACAGCATACAGTAGAATGAATCAGACCTCAATATTTGTTGATGTCACAATGTTCAGGTTCTACTACTGACAATTTTTACCTTTATTACACTGTAGCAGTAAAGCTGGTCTTAGGTTAAATACCTTCAGATAACATAGTTCTACCAAAATTATTATAAAACTGCTCATAAGCTTTTGTTGCTCCACACCCATCCGATAAATATTTGTATACAATATTGAATATTGTTGGGATTAAAATGCACAATTGCTTTCCAGACTGAGACTTCTTAACATTCTTAAAATGAGAGTGATAAAGGACATCCTGAGAGCCCCTACCAAAGCTGGTATAAAGCCTGTCTACCCACAGCCCTCCTCTTTACATATGGAGAAAGGCAGAGGAGGCCTAATTAGGGGAAGATCATGTGAATGAGAGGCCTAGAACCAGAGACCACCTTCAAAAAGGACCAAATTCAATGAACTCTGCTTAAAGTTAATTTAAACCTGCAGCCTATTATTTTGTCTTTCTTTGTATGCCATTTTGTTCTTTATATGGTGTACACTGGTTTACTGTGGCTGCCCCAGACCCAGTTGCTGGATCTCTTTGTGTTCTTACTTTGGCCTCATCCTAACCAAGAATATATGAGCTGGAAAAGCACTAAACCATCAAATCAATCAAAAGAGGGACAAGCTAATAATTATTTATCCGTACCCATCCTATCCTGTAACACTGTGGATTACATGTTATTCGATCAAAATGTATATTTTCACTCACCCCAATATGTTGATAAAAATAATTTCCTAAAAAAAAGAAAAATATATATATATGCAGCTTTTGAATACTATTAAATATGATACATAATACTAAAACTGGGGGGAAAAATAAGAGAACACTAATGCAATAACTTCTCTGGGCCCACTGTGTGTGAATTTTTGAAAAATGAAACGTATGATGGTGTTATGGAGTATTATGTAGTATTATAACACAATTTTACAAATTTTAAAGCATTTTATTTTATAGAAAGTCTTAAAATAGCATGTATATTTGCATTTTGTATGTTTAAACTGGCCACAGGCCACACTGTACATATTTCACACTAAACTTTGTTTTATCCATTTGATTCCAAACATCTGGACTGCAACGTCTAGCTGAATAAGGATAAAACAAAGTTTCCTTCCTTGCCTAATTTCACAAGTTCCTGCATGAGATTTCCATGTGCTACATTGGATAGTTCCACCTAGAGTGTGTTTATCTTTCCCATCCACCACTACAACATTTTCCCCTGAAAGTGTAATGCTGAGAATGAATGCAGAGAGACCAAATTAAAGGACCCAATTTGAAGCGGCACCACTTCACTGATAAGCTGTACCAGTGATCTGTGAGAGCACTCAGGGTCTGCTACATTATGACAATACAGAGGAATAAAGCAGATGAAAGAGAATAGTCTGGCAGGAGCAGAAATCAGATGGGCAGGGGGAGAGGAAAACAATCTAAAGTCTAATTGTGTTATGCCTCAAGGCAGCAAGGGGGTAGAGAGAGACACATTTTCTTTCTACACAGTGTTCAGCACAGTCCCTTTCCCGCCATGATTGCCTTAATTTCCAGCCTGGTTGCTTTTTTTTCCTCTCCCTTTCTATTGGTGCATTTATTGAAAAGGGTGGTTTAAAAAGCAAATGCTGGAAACTTGGCAAGAGTCGAGGTTTTCATCCTAACCATATACCATAGCTGTGGCATTCTAAATGTGTGTGGTGCATTTATCCATGTGGTCTTGATGGATATGACACCTTACAGGTCATGCTATGTCATCTTTGTCAGTGGGGAAAAATGTTATAGCTTGAAAGCATTCAGAAACAACATTGAAGTGAAACACAAAGTCATATGTATGAAGATGCAAACTCAACAAAAACATTTTAAAAATACCATGTACCATACCATACCATACCATATTAGGTATTAAACATAACTTTTATAAAAGCCAAATTTCTGTATTAAAGTTGTGTTCACTTAATGAACTGAGCTATTGAAATCAATCCATCACATTATGTTTTATTACATGTGACTCTTTTTTTTCCTACTTTCTGACATTAACAGTGAGAATGTTTGGAGAAGTCATGATGACACTTTGAAATCTGGGAAAGCTGTACCAACCAAGTACAGGCATAGTAGTGGCAACATAATGATGAGGATTTGTTACATTGCCAGTCGTGCTGCTAAGATGTTTGCAGTATAACACATAATATTAAGCAGAAAGTTATCAAACATATTTTTCTTTTCAGTAACATTATATTTTTTTATCCCATTGTTTCATATGGATTTTTTTTAGGATAATCACACATTACAACAAAACATAAAACCCTTTAATCAATTTAGATGAGTAAAATTAGAAAATCCAGACTTTTCATCTTTAAATGTATTCTCAGCTTTTTATGACAAATCCATGAGCTAAAAAGTGTGGTGTAGTTCATGTAAAAAGGAAAGAAAGATCAAATCGATAAAATGTTTCTGAGAATTGTGATCTGTAGGCTGACTGTCAAAGAAAGAAACAACTTCAGGATAATTTGACTTTTACTTGGATAACTGTGTATTTCTGTTTTCACTTTGCTGTGAATGAAAGGATTAACACAATTAAAGGACAATGAAATATCCTCAACATACCCGCTGGCTGACGTTCGTACACTTTTACAGAACCAAAGGAGTCCTTTAGAAAATCCCCGGTGTGACTCTATTCACAGGTCACTTACTCCCAAGCCTGAAAGAAAACAAAAGAAACACAAATCAGGGAAGACATGAAGAGTGAACTCACAATTTTAACTGACTCAGCCACAGCAAATGCCCAGCCATCCAGGATAAACATCCTTGAAGAAATGTCAGTCCAAGGAAGCACATTAGCTAACCCACACCAAGGCAGTCTCAATGAAAAAAAAAATCCATCTGACATATGTATAGTATCTTTCTCCTTGGCTGGTCAACTTGATCATTTCTCTTGCTAAACAGTTGCTGCTGAATGTCTCATTACACCATCATTTCAGCCAGAGAAGGCATGTGATCAGACAGGCCATCAGTTGTGTAATGCGGTCTCAACCACTAGTTGTGATTTCTTGAATCAAAAAATCTTTAGAGCATCAGCAGGAGTTTTAAGGTAGAATAATTAGACATAGAAAAACGTCATTGTCGTTTAATATGCACAGAATGTATACAAAATGAAATATTGTTGCATACAGCTTACAACAATGTAATGATATTGCAGTTGAAGTATATAAACATTACCAATACAAAGTGTAGCAGTGATCAGAATATTAAAGGCTAGCTAAAATGTAATTATGAAAGATTTGAGCAACTGTAATTTAATGACAAAAAAGGTTTACTTGCTGTAATCTACCAACATCAAGCAAGATATTTGTTAATTGATTTAATTTTATTTGTCAGTGCAATACTATTTTGGATGATCAGGAAATTAGCTAATTTAATATTTTGAAATAATTCTACTAAAAAAATGTAAAGTCAGTCTTTGGCCTAGTGACATAATTTGGAGCAGAAGGTATACAGGGAAGTCCGTTACTAAGTAGGTCTTTATAGTATATAGCTGTTAATAGAGTCTGGTTAAGAGGACAGAAATAACAGAGGATCTACAGAAAGAGCAGGGAAATTTAGAATTAAGTCAAATGAGGAACCATCAAAGGGGGAAAGAGGTGTTATACAAGAAGGTCCATCCGCACTTCAGTTCTCTAAAGCACCTTTATCCTGTTCAAGGGCACATGGAGGATGACTCTGATAACTGTCCTATAGAATGAGACTGAGGGTGAGGGAGGGGGAGGATAACTACAATCAGACAGAAACCTGTGCTCAAACACAGTCTCAGAGAGTAATTTGGAGGTTAAAACCCAACTGACTTTTGCTGGACTTTTGGAGAGAATCCTAGGTGTACAAGACAACTGTAATACAAAGTGTTAACTCTGCATAGAAATGTTCTAGCCAAGACTGAGAGTCATAGCGTTTTGCTATGAAATGACAGTGCTACTTACTGCACCCCTGAGCCCCCAAAGGAACAATACTGTAAAACTGTGAGACTAAGCTGCTAAGGAAACCTTTTTAATCAGGAAGTTTAGCTGATCAAAGTGCTGCAAGATGGGTCACAATTTTTAAAAAACAGTCTGAGTGAAATGATACTGGAGATGAAAATGGAGTTTAGCAGTTTTGTCTTTCCAAATAATTTCACTCACTAAGCCAAACTAAATCTACTTAAAGAGGTCACAGCTTGACACTGATGGATGATTTTCACAGACTTACAATCCAAACGACTTAGTTATTGGACCCACATCAACAGAAGTTAGGAGAGTATCTCGCCTTTTACGTGAAGTTAAAAGTCCTTCTATCTCCATCCCACCCAGTGAACAGCCTAATCCACTGGTGGAGGATTTGTGAGCCAGAGTACAGAGTAATTGTGCTGTGGCACAATGAGTGCAGCCTAATTGGAGCAAAGACTTAATGAGGGGCCTGTGAGGATTATCATCTGTGGCCTAGAAAGGCCCAGGTAGAGAGTCAAAATGATGAGGGCTGATCATCCCAAAACAAAGTGACAGAACTTTGAGGTTTTACCATTTTCTGTAAAATCCAGCCTTAATGCATTTTTCAAGCAGCTCCCTGGAGATAACTTTGCTGATATAATATAACCTCCGTGTAATATTAATCTGCAGGTACAACAGCATTTCGATGCTGCTAGATAAAATAATGGTGCATTTATCTACCTTATCATTTTGGATTGAGGCGCGAGTAGTCTTTGCTTGCATAAAATAATTAATACATTGACACACATTTAGTTTTTACTATTATTCTTAAGATATATAAAAAAACACACCTTAATGAACTGCTAACCTAACCAAGGTATGCTCCATTTTTTTTCTTTTGACTTCCATTTTTTAAATACTGGCCAAAAATCAGTTTATTACCCTTAAAAAAGTTCAAGTACAACAGTACCAAATCAATGCTATGTTGTTGAATATAATCCCCATAAAACTCCAGATGTTCTACAGTGTTGGTTTATTGTTATTAGCATAATTTCAGATGTACTTTTTCATTTTTATTTTTTTACTCCAAAAAAATGACCCACACATGTGGTGACTGAACGAACAATCAGGAGGTAAGTCTTTAATGGATGTTCCTAGTGGAAATGTCATGTCAGAGAAAGAATAGCAGAAGGCCATGTACGTACAAGTGCTCAGCTCAAGCACCGGAGGAGAGTGGGACCAATATTGAGCAGGATGAGGGCTGCAGCAGCAGAAGTGAGGCAGAAGTAGAAGCCTCAGCAGTAGTGGCATTTTGGCAGGAAAAGGCAAGGGACCTCAGGGAGTAGGCAGAGTCCAGGATTCTGTCCTCTGACTATGACAACTTTATGAATCATTCTTACACCCAATTTAATTCAAAAAGCATGAGTGGTGCCATCCTTTTCCACCTCATGGTTATGAGGCCCTAAAAGGGCTTGGAGTTTACCACATTCCCATGAAGCAAGCAGGGCTGGGGTTCTTGGATATTAAGTCATCTTAATGTTGGCTTTAGCTATTTTATATATTTAATTAAGTTCAACTGGGCCAACAGGCTGCATGGTGGCACAGTTTGTAAGTATATTGCCTTGCAGCAAGCTCCCTGGCCATTTGCAGGGTGTTTCTGCCTGGAGCTTTTATGTTCAACTTGTACATGCGTGAGTTTTCTTCAGGTACCCTGACTTAATTCCCACTATCCAAAGAACCAGCTTTTAACTCAATTAGCATCTTTAAAAAAATGCTGTTACGGGTCAGTGGTTTTATGTCTGTGATGACTTCATGGTCTGTGCAGGGCGAACCCTGCCTTTCACCCTTAGTTTGTGGGAATAGGCAACAGCCCCCCTTTTACCATAAGAAAAGGTGGCAGAAATTGAAATGACCATTTTGTTTAATCCACTTAAGAAAAACCATTGATGGATATTCTACAAGTACATAGATGACATAGATGTAGCAGAAGTTTCTGCTATCAGATAAGATGAAACCTGAACCAATTGACCAATATGCAAAGTTCTCTGTGTGGGAGGAACCTATCACTGCTTGTAGCCCTCAGTATATCACTCCCACAGTAATGCATAGCGATGAGAATCTGGTCCAACTTACAGTGAAGATAAATTGAGCTGACTTTAAGACATTGAACCAGAACATTTTCAAACATACAAAGACATTATTTCTAGGGAATAGTTTAGGTCTAAGAATGTCTGTGGATGGCCCAGAGAAAAAATAAAGCTTCTAAAAGTTTAATCTCAATGTTCATGGATGCTCTCCATTGAAATTAGAATATTTTTTAAACAATTTTTATAAAAGGAAAATGAGTCAAAATTACGTTATTGCAGATGTTGATGACATCCTAAGAAGGTAGCCACACCTTCTAAAGGTTTCGTCAGTGGTTATAAATGGGGTGAGACAGTGGCTTCCAAGGAACTGGATAGCAAATCTCTATACGAGAGGGAGTTTAGTACAAATGCACAGCACACTTTACAAAATTTGATTGTAAGAGAAACTAGTTTGCAATACTCTGCATCTTGGTGTTCGTTAATCCTATTGAGGACTCGAAAGAATGTTTATATATACACATATAAAAAGACGAAAAAAACAACAGCAAAAAACATAAATGAATAAAACAAAGGAAGATGTATTTTTACATCGTATTGTGCACATACAATAGTGCCAAACAACTGGGTGATTATGACATTCATAAAAACATTTTTTTCATTTTAACCAATTTATTGATCAAACATCCCACATCCCAAGGAAAATCCCACAAATGCCTGATCCATGCTTGTTAAGAAGAACTGTGGACCCTTCAATGTCTCTCCAAACTGTTTATTTCTCCGAGGAGCCTGTTTGCTCTTGACAGCCACAGATCAGATATGACTGACCAAGATAAATGGTTAGGCTCTAAAGTCAGATCAATTCAATCTAGCAACTGTCTTCGCCAGGAACAAAAAGGCCATGCTGTCAACAAGGCTTAACTCACTTTAGTGTTCTTTTGCTGTCTTTTTGTCCTTGTTACATAAACATAAGAAACTGTGAATTTCCTTATGTTTAAAACCAAACATAAAAAAACATTCTTTGTATGAAATCATACTAAAACCCCTCTGTTGTTTTTTTACCTTATATCTGAATTTCTTTTTTTATATATATATTTTATTTACAAGACATCTTTCTTCCACTGACTTCGTATCATAGTTCAGTTTATAATATTTTAGGGTTAGAGTGCAGCCAAGACACCATGCAGGTCATCAATAGGCACAGAGTTATTCATCCTGAAGTAGCACATTTATCGTGTGGGAAGCACAAAAGAGCTGTTTGTGCATATAATTCAAGCAATGACCCAAATGTGCCAAAGGAAGCTTTCAAGCTCCTCAGCATTGATCCAAAATTCCATTATATTGCATCTACATTAAGGAGCACTGATGGTAATAATTTCTGGTTCTGCTTTTAACTGGATTTACCAATAGTTTCATTGTCAGACTTTGGATAAAAATGAATTGTCTTTCTGAAGGCATAGACATAAAAGTAAATCTGCAATGTTATAATAATTTTTAACTGTGAGCGCATTGCTTTTCAGAGTCTACAGCTCACAAGGGCGCTGTTAGATTTAGTAACCATGTGCCGGCCAATTTTGAAACACTAAAAAAGGGATGGAAACCATGCGAGATACAGGACCTATTTATAAGCAGCAGAATAATCCATTGAGGAATGACGATAA